TACTGTAAGAAAGTAGAAAGCTCACATTCATGTTAGTGGCTGCTACACTCTTGGGATACCAACTGTTACTATGGTCAGTGTCAGTGATCATTTAATTTGTGTGATAAGCTGTTTGGTCAAGTGAATATACCCCAAATGCCTCAGATGTTTGATAGCTGCAAATGTGGAACAGATTGAATATAGACAAAATGCACTAAAAAGGTTGTAGATCTCATTATTTAACTTTTATTGGTACGCTGATTCTACTGTGGCATTAGAAAAGTAAAATAATTAATTGAACATGAGACCTCACACAATCTTTAATGGGAAACTATCAGAGCCAAATAATGTTGAAAATGTTTAACATATGTTGAATTTTAAAATACATTTTTTCCATTCTATTTTAGAATGGCATGGAATTACATAAACTATGTATTATTAAAGCCGACCATTTTAGACCAATTGGCCTAAATATTCTGTGCTGGTGCTTATACTCTATGAAATCCTCCCAGTCCATTATTCTTGTGCCAGTGTCAGCATATCTTTCTATTCCCTTCCCTCTTGTGTTATTTTTAATTTGTTTGTTGGGTGTGAGTGACACCAGCAAGGTCAGCCTTTATTGCCCATTTCTCATTTCCCTGAAGAAGATGGTGATGAGTTGCCTTCTTTAACTGCTGCAGTTCTAGGGGCAAAGAAACCCCACTGTGCTGTTAGGAGGTGAGGCCCAGGATTTTGACCCAGTGGCAGTGAATTACAGGCAATTTTGTTCAAAAGCAGGATGGTGGTGTTCCCGTGCATCTGCTGCCTATGTCTTTCTAGATGATAGATGTCGCAGAGAGAAACTTGGTGAGGTACTGCAGTGCATCTTGTTGAAGGTAACCACTGCAGCCACTGGGCATTGGTGATGAAGGGAATGAATGTCGAAGGTGGTGGATTCAGTGTTGTACAACACATCTGTTTTTTTTTCTGGATGGTTTCAAGTTTCAGTTGTTTTGCTGGAGCTGCAATCATGCAAGCGAGTGGGGAGTATTCAATCACAATTCTACCTTGTATCTTTTAAATGATGAACAGGTATTTGGGAGACAGGAGGTGAGTTACTCACCTAAGAATTCTTCACTGATCTGCTCTTGTAGCCACAATGTTTATTTAGCTGCTATTGTTCAGTTCCTGGTCAATGGTAACCCCTCGGATGTTGGCATTGGGGGCATTAGTGTTGGCAATGCCATTGAATGTCAAGGGGTGATGTTTCCTGACACTTGTGTTATGTGAATGTTAGTTATCACTTATCAATGGATAAGTGGCTGGATGTTTGAACCCAATAATTTCCCATGACATTCTACTATTCTCTGAATAAGTACATTTTTCCTTCTTTCTCTGTTAGATTAATGAGTAATTACGTTGTATTTTTGGTCCCCAGTTTTGGATCATCCTATAATATTTTACTGGAATTTAGAAGAATGAGGGTGATTGTAGAGAAAGCTGTAAAATTCTAACAGGACTAGCCGGGGCAATTGCACAAAGGATGTTCCTGATGACTGGAGAGTCCAGAACCAGGGGTCACAGTCTAAGAGTATGGGATAGGCCATTTAGGACTGAGATTAGGAGAACTGACTTCATCCAGAAAGTGATGAGCTTGGCATTCCTTTCCACAGAAGGTAGTTGAGTCCAACATGTTGAATATTTTCAAGAAGGAGCTGGATATAGTCCTTAGAGCTAAAGGGAGTAAATAGAATATAGCGAAAGTGGAAAAGGGATACTGAGTTGGACAATCAGCAAATGATCATATTGAAGGCAGAATAGGCTTGTGGGGCTAAAAGCCCTACCCTGCTTGCATTTTCTATGTTTCTACATTTCTATTCTGACAAGATAGGCTGGTACGCAAACTGCTTTCAGGTTTCTACCATGTGCAAAAGGATGCAGTGAGAAAACAATTTGAGAGGGGGTGGTGGATTTATATTTTTATGTTCTGTTTCTTTGTCTTCTGTATCACATCTTCCTGACAGTACAGATGCAAACAAATGCTCACCATAGGCAATTGTAGCCATGATATTTTCTGAACTATGCCAAAGCAGACTGGGACAGTTATCTTTTACATTTCTTTCATAATATAACTTCATTTTATCTATAATATATATACACAATGGAATTATTATGAATTATGTTCACTGCAAACATTGTTACATTTTTATGTTTGAAAAGGCACAGAAAATGCAACAAATAATCTCAATAAGTGAGTGTGATTGGATGATATGTGAGTAATGAAGATTGAAATATGTTAAGATTAATCCTGGATTAAAATATCTGCCACATCCAGCAATACATATATTGTAGTAATTTAATTTTAAGAAATCAAACTTAGTGATAGCATTAAAATAAGTTTGCAGTTCACTGACCATCTATGCAAATAATAATGATAAAATATTTGTTATGATTTTATTAAACACACTAACATTTCACAAACAACTATATTCTCAAGTATTATTTGTTAACAGAAATAACGTAGGTTTCTGTGTGAAGCATCAAGTATCATAATGCAACTAACTTTTATTGATAACAGCACATTTTATGAAGTTTTAAAACTACTCAATAGGAAGTTATTAAAATTATTTTGTTAATAGATTCAAACAATTGTATGATGAAAAAGTGTTGAACCTTGGAACATTAACATACTGTGCTACAGAGTTCATGAACTTGATTTTTGACAAGGACAGCTTCCGAAGCTCATCCCTGCGTTTGTTACCTTTACATCTGAATAACTCTAGTGCACTCCTGGCCAAGCTCCCAATTCTAGCCTCTGTAGAGTTCAGGTGGCATAAAATTTTGCTGCTTATATCTTCTCATGCACCAACTAGTGTTCACTGATGACCCATTTACTCATTGACTTAGAGTGAATTTCATTTTGGCAATCCGTTTGTTATGAAATTCCTATCCTGGTTTTCAGATCCATCGACGGTGACATGTCTCCTTGACTATATAACCTCTTGCTGCCCTAAAACTACGTGAGGTCTCTGTGTTTCTCCAACTCTACCTTTAAACGTATCCCAGTTTTCAACAGTAAACTATTAGCAGCTGTGCCTTCAGCTGCCTAGACCCTAATCTCTGTAATTTCCTCCCTAACCCACTCTACCTCTAACACTCCTTTAGGAGGTTCCTTAAAACTAAGCTTTTTGCCATCTGTCTTAATATGTCCTGTTTTACAGAGTTAAACTGTGTTTGATAATGCTTCTGTGAAGCATTCTGCTATATCTTTGCTATGTGAAATATACCATATAAATACAAGTTATTGTTGTACCAGGTAAATATTGAGTAAACACAAGGCCTTTCCTCAAATATTTGTTCAATTCAGGGGGTAATGAACTATTTTTGTCACCTACAGAAAGTAGCTTGATAATAGCATTGTGGGAGGCATGCCTTTATGTTTGGCCAGAAGATGGCAGAGAAAGTGAAATAATTAAAATATTTTGTTAAAATAGCGCAGATAAAAATAATTCTAACAGACATCAATTAGAATAACAAGGGTTATATAAAATAGAATATAAATATGAAACTGCATACTTGGTTCCAGTCTTTTGCACAATAAGATTACACCTTAGGGCGAGAACCAGCTTTTTCTTATTTAATTTGAAATTTCCTTAGCTTTCTAAACTCAATGGTTGATGGTTTAAGGGAATAGGAAACTTTTCAAGCAAATGTCACCATCCAGCAAACCCAAGTCAACTATAGTAGTCCATACGTATGTAAGTCACAACAAAGTTCATAGAAATAGTTACTAATGTAGCAACATTACAAGTGTAATGAAAATAAATGTCTTTTCAAGGTTGGTACATAGAAACCAGAGCTATTGTTCCCTCAGAGTGCCTCAAACACCAGCTCAGAAGGTTGCCTTCAACTGAACCAGTGCAGCATTTTTATTTCCTAGATTATGTGACCCTGTGATTGAATTTGTCAATTTAATAGCTATTTAGACTGAATTATGAGTGATTGTGTTGTGAAGTCATTCTCACTGGAAACTGGATTAAATCATATCCAAACACATCTTGTTTAGACGCTCATGGTAAGCAGAGTGTGATAGAGAAAAAAGAAAACTGTTGGTTAAACTAAATGGCACAAGGACAATAGGTAAAAGGACTGTATGCTAAATCGAGACTTTCAATTCTCAGCTTCTCTCTTGTGTCTTGCTGTATCTTGCACTGGTTTGTGGGTGGCACTACAAGTATATGAATCCATTTGCCTGTAGATTTTCTAATCCACTCCACCTAAAGACTGCACCAAACTGTATATTAACTCAAGCATACAACTATCATTTATTAGAGGGTGACAAAAATCTGGTGTTGTTATTCTCTAATACACAACCACAACGGGGACTAAAACAGCATCATTTTAGAACTATAACAGTCTTTTCTAAACTATGTTTAATCTCACACCAAAACCATATACTCAACCTCAGCAAACAAACGATTTCAGCAGAGTGGAAACAATAATATAAAGCCAAATATATTTTTAAAATGAAAAGAATGAGAAACCAATTAAATCAAATGAAATGCTTTTTCACACTGAACTTTAAAGCTTTGAAAAAGCATTCATAAAAATGCATTTTTACTGTCTTCTACACTTCGAGAAGCTGTGCAGTCCACTCCCATATCAAATATTGCAAAAAGCCATAAAGAAAGGTACACTTATTTGTACTTTGCAGATTAAATGTCCACTGTCCTGCTTGCAAATTTAAAGTAGATGTGAGACGGCATTTATGGGATTTCACACTTCAGGGATTAAATGAATTACCAGTTTAAGTGAAAACTGACGTTGCTTTTAAACTGCCACTTTTGCATTGATGCCCACTTAAAACCATTTTGCATCAAAATATCAAGTCAAATTCAATCTCATTTGTCTCTTTGCCGTGTTTCAAGCTTGGAAATTATGGCATGAGGGCAAATATTTTGTATAGAGGTCCCTTAAATATATCACTCTATATTTTCAACCTGTAAGTTTTTGAATAGAGAAGTACTGTCCAGAGTTCTCACCCATCATGTTATCAGGGAAAAACATCCTGGTGGCACATCAAGGGACTCCTACGCCAAATGTCAGCTTCTTGACTGCCTAAAACCAATAGTTTCAAAGCATTAAGCCATGGTAACGAAGGTGACTGAAGATATCAATAAGTATACTGACATTTCTGTTTTTGACAGAATAAAGCAAAATATGCTATTTGTGTTAGTTCGCTTCGAGGAGATGCTGTGCCCAAAGATGTGAAGTTGATGAATTCATGTAACTGAAGAACCCCACTTTGACAACAGAACTTCCTAGTGATAATTCAATCATCTCACACTGTTAAGCTTAGTAACTCCTCCTGCTTAGTTCCCCCTTCCATCTTAAACAAAACTAATAAAAACAGAAGTAGGCACACTGAACAAAAAAAAATGGATGTTGAAGTTAAACATTATTCTCAATTTTTTAAATTTGGTGAGATTCCCTCCTCAGGATAACTGACATGATCTGGAAACTGAATTTCCTTTCCCATTTCATCAAATGCATTAATGACATACTAGCTTCACATAAATTCTGCAGCATGTGATTGGAAGTGAGTTATTGCATGTTAAACCTGAAAAGAACGTTGCACTTCAAAAAATCATTAACAGTTGAGAAAAAGTCATGACAGAAACACAAAGCATACAGCCAGGCTGCTGAACAATTAATTGTATCTACTATTTTTTGTTGTCAATGAGCAAGGCAGGAGATTATTATTTTGAGTACAAGCAAAAGCTTGTTGATGCAAAATCCTATCACACAGCAACCACACCTTTTGTACCATATTTCTTAATCTGCCATTCTCCATTGAAATTGAAATGATAGAATGTCAAGGAAAGGAAATAAATAAAAGAATACAGAATGAACCATTCACGAAAACAGCAGCCTGATTTCCAATACTTGTTTGTTTAAGTTATATTATGTGTGAAATATTTTAGCTTTTGAAATAAAATATAATTCATGCAAAGACAAAACTGAAAATTGATGCATACCAGGAAACATGTCCATGAGCTGAGGGTATGTGTCAATAACTTACAGACATGTCCATGCTTTTTTAATTTTTTACAGTGTTGGGAAAGTTTTTGAAATTTCTCTTTTAATTAGGAAGTTGTGGGTAGACAGTGGCATGGTGGTGATATCATTGGATTAATAATCCAGAGTGCCATGTAAATATTCTGGGGACATGGGTTGAAATCCCATCATAGGTGGAATTTAAATTCAATTAATCAAAATCTCAAATTGGAAGCTAATCTCAGTAATAGTGAGTTTGAAGCAATCATCAATTGTTATATGAATTCATCTTTGGTTCACTAAGGAAGGAAATCTGCCATCCTTCAAGGAAGGAAATTTTCCCTCCTTCCAATAGACTGGCCTGTACGTGGCTCCAAACAGATAGCAGTGTGGTTGACTGCATCTGCAAGGGCCTGAAAGTCACTCAGTTCGAGGGCAATGAGATTCAGGGAGCAAATGATTCCCAACTGCCATGTCAGAACATTGAAAAGAAAAACACACGTTGGTCTAAAGAATTAGGCTACATGATTTTGGTCCATTTTAAATGTCAGGCACTTAGTCAAAAATATGAAGTCTTTAGAAATGACTAATAGGTAATTTATTTTTACTTGTTGAAACTTTATTGGAATTTCTTGTTGCTGAATTGAGAGAGTATATTTCTTCAGATATTTAGTTTATTTTCTTTGATCCTCAAGAACATTTACAGCTGCAGGCCTGGCAATGTGTATGGTGAAGGTGATTTAGCATTTAAGGTAGAAATATGTTTCATTATCTGCAAAATTTGGCTCTTATAGACCAAAGTCCATAATAATTTTGTTCAGAACTGTGAGGAATAAAAAGGATCATTATTTAAAGTAATCTCCTGCATTAATGCTTTTTCTACCTCAATTTTCAATCTGATTCATTTGGGTTTCCAGGTTCCGCATGGCATGAATGACGAATATTGTTTATTCTGAAAATTACAATAACTTAGGAAAGCACCCTTTTGCATCATTTAGAAGCAGAATGAATTTATTCACCATTTTAAGGAAAATGTTAATCAAACTTACAACGTCCGTTCAGCTCTATAACATTATTGTCAGCCTTTAACCTTGGCGTTAATTCTAAATACCAGTAAGTTTATTGATAAAGATCATATCGACTAATACATTGGTTTTCACTTTTTAAAATGAGAATTGAACAAAATTAATGTGAGCTGTTGTTACATGAGGTTGACAAACCATGCCTTAAATGACCACTTTTTTTTTATCTGAGATTGTATATGAATCTTTGAAAGCAGTTAAAAATGTTGAAATGAATTATGTTTATTCTTCAACATCACGCTCAACAAACTGATAGGATACCAATGGTTGATTGTTGTTTAGAATTTCAAGTACGCACTGTCCATTCACCAATGAAGCTTCAGATGATTGGTCTGCTGGTCTATGTTTAAAACAGGCTTTAAAATACACGTTACGCAAACGGTGAAGATAGTTCACAGACGGACCATGTCGTGAACACAGTTAGACCAAACAATCCTAATAAATCGAATTCATTTAACATGCAGTTGATTAATTATGTCCCTGAATCAGGAGGCTGATCTGCACATAACTCCCCTTTTCTGGCCTCTGGTTACGAGAGCTCAACTGACTTGACCAAATTCCACGACAAAATTTTGCATTTTCTTTTTAAAGCAGGGCGCAATCTGGATCCGATTTTTACTCTGCTCCGAAGCAGCTCAGTTAAGGTCCACACACGCGACACGAAAGCCAGCAGCGACCAAAAGAAACATCTTTTTCCCCCTTACCTGAATCGGCGCAGAACGGCGAGCTCTTCCAGTGATGTTTCCGTTCCGTCCACAGCTTAGATCTCTGTTAAAGCAATCACACGAAAAAGAATGATACTTCGACGGAGAATTTGTTGAAAATAGTGTCAGTATTTAAAGTCGCCCAGAAACATATAGAATTATAAAACTGCAGGGTAATTACAATCTCCAATGTAGGATCAGCACTTTCCCCAGTCAGCTCAGCTCACTCCTTCCAAGCGGTAAATTAAGGGCGCAGAAGTACAACGATAATTTGCTGTAATTATAACGCGTTCGCTTTTGGCGTAAAATCCTCTAAATATCGCAGTAGCCTCGTGTATGTTACTGCCGTAATTAATTTATTTTAATTAGTACATATCACTTTTAAGTTGGAAAGAGATGGATGGCTGTTAAAATTAAAAGCAAAACACTCCCAGTAAATGATTTTTAGGTCGAAATGAACAGCTTCTCGTTCCGAGAGATAAAATGATTGCAAATTATTATCATATTTTCCTGGGGATATCTGTGACAGGTAAAGGAATCTGTGAAAAGAATTCTTAGTCACATTCCGCGTACAAAGCCACTGAATATTGAATGCAAATTCATCACTTCTTGCCGCCCCATTTTGGAAATATATTCTTATTCCCCAGCTTTCCTATTTTACTCTATCCCAATAGTTTTAAAGTTGTGCCTCACCCTGAGTAATACAAACTTCAGAAAAAAAATTGAAATTGTTTATTCCCTAAAATTAACTCTCGTAGCTAATTAGCAAATCAGTTCAATAGTCAAGCCATTGACCCTTATATATTTGAGTTGCCATTGACAAGCGAGATGCGGAACCTTGGCGCAAGGGACAAACTGATTCTATCAGTAAGTTGCTTGTCAAATCCTTTTGCTTCATCGGATATCATTGCTTGTTGATTATATTAACCAATACACATGTTCGCCCAAATACAGTTTGCTTCCCCTATGCCGACGAAAAGATAGCACCAACGTGTTTGGAACATTTATCTATTCCCAAAGGAGAAAATTGTCAAATTGGCCGTGTTGTGACTCCACATACAAATCGTTCCAATTATGGTCTTAAATACTACGATCAGCAGAACTCTCTGCAAAGGGCGGCGATCAGATTTCAGCATTTTCCTGACATTTCCCCACCCCGCTTCCCTTTCGTTTCCGTCCTGAGTTGGTACTGAGGCAGAATCAATCCTCTGGCAGAGGCCATGTAAGGAGAAACTTGATTGCTTCTCACAATACAGTGCATAAACTTTTTTTTAAATAAAGAGATTCCATCTGGGCTCATAGTGCCCACTTTGTGCACGACACTTCAATTCTGGATACACATTTCATCCATTAAAAAACTGTGTGAAATAATTCACTAACATCACACAAACGATGTAGCCAGATGTGGAGAAAATAGCAAAGGTCTAGGGATGACATCTATTAATTTGTAATGATTAGCCTCCAAAGAATACTGAAGTTCTTTAAATAAGCGCAACGTTAACACGCCGTATTTCACTCAAATATTTCAATCTATAACTGTTATTGATCAGGTTTCGGCAATTATGAATGATTTGGACAGAGTATTTCGTATTGGAAATTATCTTAGGTTTGCTCTGTGCAAATCTGCACTCTTTTATATACAGCCGCCTCTGAACATGTACTGGTACGGCCCTCACTCGTGAGATTTTCATCTCTACCAGCGATCTGGTGTCTAGGAACTGGCCCAGGAACATTGTACAAAGATGTTCAATCAAATCGCATTGCTCCCAATTGCTACTTTTAAAGGTTGTTCGTCATCATACCTATGGGCGACTGTTGCACCACACAGTTCAAGGTAAGCCAGTTTTTAGAAAGGTTGTCTCTTGTAAGGTGTTGGTGGATTACATTCACGGAGAGCATTTGGACGGGGCTCAGTAAAAACTAAATCTGTATAAATGGATGTTTTGAAAAATCTGAAGGACATTTTACCTTTTTCCCTACGTGAAGTGAGTCAGGAATTGGACGAAAATGACCTTTGCTAGTTTAACTGCAATATTTGAATCTGAATAATTGCAGTTAATAAATCATTATACTGTAAAAGTAGAAAGGTACTACTGGGCCAAGCAATTGCAATCAAAGCCAATTCAGCAGGTAAGGCCTCTAAACAAACCAAACGATTATTCACTAGGTCTGTCTTTCACAGGGTCACATTTGTCAAAGAAAATACTCTTCCACTGTCACCAACTTATCTTTTTAACTGGACTTTCGATTTTATTTGGCATTCTCAGGAGCATTGCGTTAGAACACAGCCGATATGTTAATACATACTAATTTTTTTAATTTAACAGGAAATCACAGACTGACTGAAAATAAAATCGTGTTCACGTTCCAGTCCGGGGCATTCGGTTGCCGAAGATAAAAACCACTAAAAAAAAAGCAAAGAAATGCGAGTGCGAAGGGTCACAGGATCCGAAATGTTAACTCTGATTACTCTCCATAGTTGCTGCCAGAAAAGCTCCTGAGCTTTTCCGGCAATTTCTGTTTCTTGTTTATAAAAACCACTAATTTTGATCTTGTAAATCTTGTAAATAAATCTTGTAAATAAAGTTATCGGTCGCAAACTATCCACCACAAAGGCTGTTCCGCACACGTACGCATTTACATTACAGCCTACATTATTGCTAAAATCTATAGCCAAATATGGTTTTATTTACCTCAACACGAAGTAAATGTTTGTTTACATTAAAGAACCAGCGGGAACACTCTCTTGTTCGTTGACCGAAATACAAATCTCTCCCAGTAGCTTCTAGGGACTGGGTTGCCTTCGATTCCAGTCACAACTTTTTCTCGAGTTGGATCTGTCCCCAGTTATAATTATGATCGTGTGTTTATAGTTTGTTTTGTTTCCAAGTGCGAATCTATGACTGTCTGTAATCTACCCTAACCCTATAGCGACATATTTCATTTATAAACCATGCATGTTATTTATTTTTTGCTCGCTTTCTATACTTCATCGCTGCAGTAACATATTGAACCACGCTAACAATTGCTCTGCAGGCTGGGTCGAGATCCATACTGAGAGCGTCTGTAATGCTGCTGCTGGGGAAAGGACCTTCTGTCTCTATAACCAGACAGCAACACTTCGATTGTTTAAAATCTCAAATCAAGACGTTATATTCGGTCAGAAACAAATACCGTAAAGTAAGAAAAAGCCGATTATAAGGATTTTCAAATAGATAGAATGCGAGGAATAATTTACACTCCTCGCTTGTCTATCAGGACTCGCTTTTACTCCATAATGTAAAAACACCGCTCTGAAATGAAACAAAAACAGAAATTGCTGGGAAAGCTCAGTAAGTCTGGCAGCATCTGTGCGGAGAAATCAGAGTTAACTTCCTCGGAACTCATCTGCAGATTTTTTTTCTGGTTTCCGCTCTGAAATGACATTTTCAAATTTTTTGGTGCGCTGCATTCGTGAGGAACTGTCGAGTTCCCTCACACGACTTCTATGCGGTGTGAAATAACAGAAAATACCCCAAACCCCGCCGCAACGTCAGAGTTATAACTGAAAAAAAAGCCCCCTCATAATCTCTATACCTACAGTCAGCGAACAAAATGCTTTGGAAAAGGGCAAGGTTCGAAATGATATAGGGGGCGGGAGAGAATGAAAACCAAACAGTGAAGAATAAAAACCTCAGACTCGCTGCTTTTACCTGACCTTTAATCATATTGCCTTGGTCTACTCGTCTTTGTGAGAATCTTGTTTGCAATGCTGGAGAGCAGCTGAACTTATCGACATTGCAACATTTTTACAAAAGCACGTGTTTTCACTTTCCCCCATTCTGTCCTTCACGCGGGCGAGCTAGGAGCTAGGGGACTCACCGTTTATGTGCATGACTTGGAGCTTTCGCTGTCTTCGGTACATGCTGTTTCCGCATCAATTGAAAGCATAGCTCCAGAGCAGTGCAGGAGGCCGGCTGGCTTTGCACTCGATCCGGAGTTTGGTTCCGTTCCTGAAGCTCGGCAGCTGTCTCCCTGGCTGACAGGTGACGTCAGGCCTCCCCACCCTCGGGCCAGGGCTGTGTGTGTGCGCTCAAGCACAGCACAGGTTATGCAAGAAGCTGGATGTCATATTTGTTTCGTTCAGGGGACAATGAATGAGTCGGAGCTCTGTGCTCGGCAGTGGTTGTAACCGGGAGAGAATGGGTGCAGTTCAAACGGTTGGCAAACCCAGAGGGAGCTGCTTCTTTAAGGTCGACCACCCTCTCTCGTTGGCTTCCACTGGGGCATTGGCACCAGACCCTCCCCCACAATAAGAATTACTGCAGTCATGTCCTAAGCCCCTTTGATCCTCGGCAAATTATGAGCACCTTTCATCGGTTTATGTTGAAATATAAGCTAAAATGTTGCTTTCATAATCTTTTAAAAGAGATTACATTGTAAACAAGCGGATTAGGTACATTAACTTTCCTAGAAAGAGGACATCGGTTTTTATTTGGCATTTAATTGCCCAGAGGACGCACTTCTGTGCAAGTTCAGTCATGACAGCTGTGCTTGGCGAATTGTTTATTATTAATTAATTCATTTCACAATTTCCAAGAGAGAGAAGTGCATCATATACATTTTTCATCCTTCAGCCCTTCCCTTCCCTAACCATTTCACCGTGTCACATATCCGCTGTGATAAAACAGGGCAGCTTGCTCTGAGTTTACTATTGCGGAGGGGAACTGACTGTCCGGACGTACAACGTAGCGAGCGGGCCTTTCTTTGAACGGAGGCACCAGCCGGATTGGAATAAAGAACTCAACAAACCAGCCACACCTGGATGTAAAATTCACTCCACACGCCTTGACATTGTTTGGTGGGGGTCCGGTGTTCATCTGATTGTGCCGTGGGCCTTTGTGAGATACACTGTTACATTATGCAAAACAGTAAACATTTCGTTATTTATAAACACCCAACTGGAACATTTTTATTGTTTTACGCAGTTCTATATTAATTTAGTGAATTTAATTTTAACGCTGAAACCATTACGTGTCTTCAACCCATTAAGCAAGTTTAGCGTGTCGCTCTCATCCAACTGGTATACAGCACTTTTAGTCAAATCCCAATTTGTCTGCAGAAAATGTGCAAACCGGTGCTGTGAGACATTCAGCAGCACGTTTTGGATTGGACATTGAGCGAAATGTAATTCCAAAGGCATGTAAGTAGATTTTAAAAATGCTCCAAGTATTCCATTGGGTGTCCAGTACATTTTCTACACTCGTTTTTATGAAGTGAATACTTCTGTTTGAGTTTGTAAGAAAAATGTACTGGCAGAGAGAATGGAGTTCTGTGCACGTGTGCAAGTATACACAGAGCTTCACTCTCTAAGTAGTCAGAATGCAAGTTTTCAGTTTGTTTGCACACGTTACATTGTTGGCTGATCTTCATACTGAGCAGATTTCTTAGTTACAGTATAACCATAGCCTGTGTGATATATAAACGTTAAAATCAATTATAGTACTCTGTTGTTTTGAGTAGAAATGTAATTATCCAAATGTATGTGTAAATACTTTGTGTGATGGAGAAACACAAGTTAGGTGTTACCCTGGCTCACTGATTGTACTTTTGTGTCTTAGTCAGCATGTCATGAGTTCCTTCCAAAGCCTGGAACATATATTATTCAAGTTGATGCTTTCAGTGGAGGGTTGAGGGAGTGCTACACTGGCAGAGGTGCTATATTTCAAATGAGATGTTGAAGCTGAGGTCTTGACTATCCCATTTTTCAAAATAGAATAGAGGGCGACTGTAAAATAAAACAAAGAATGTGGATGCTGGAGATCTGGAACACACAAAAACAGAAAATGCTGGAGGAATGTACTAGGTCCGGCAGCATCTGTGGAGGGAAAACAAAGGTAACACTTCGAGTCCAGTGACCCAAGACTCTGTCTTCACTCCACAGATGCCGTCAGACCTGTTGAGTTTCTCCAGCAATTGCCATTTTTGTGTGTTAGGGGACAATGCTTGCTGACCTGATGAACATGTATGCGATAGTTCTCCTATAACACGATACTTGGATTCTTGTGTGACCTCACGCTAAAGAAAATCGCCATAGAAAATCGCGTTATTGGGAAATTGCTATACTGTACTGCAGAAAGTTCTCATTATCGAAACAGCGTCCACTATTCATCAATCGCGTTATAGCCAATTCGCATTAACAAAACATGCGTTATAGCAGAACTACCTGTAATTGTGAACCAACATCACCCGTCCAAGAGGCCAGGCGCCAGCTCTCTGAAACCTCCTCCTACTGCCCCCTTGATCATGACCCCACCCCCGACCACCAAACCATCATCTCCCAAACCATCCACAACCTCATTGCCTCAGATGAACTCCCACTCACAACCTCCAACCTCATGGTTTCGCAACCCCGTACTGCCCGCTTCTATCTCCTTCCCAAAATCCACAAACCTGACTGCCCTGGTCGACCCATTGTCTCCGCCTGCTCCTGCCCCACCGAACTTATCTCCACCTATCTTGACTCCATTTTCTCCCCCTTCGTCCAGGAACTCCCTACCTATGTCCGTGACACCACCCACGCACTCCACCTCCTTCAAAACTTCCAATTCCCCAGGCCCCAAAACCTCATCTTTACCATGGACGTCCAGTCCCTATACACCTGCATACCCCACACAGATGGCCTAAAGGCCCTCCGCTTCTTCCTGTCACGTAGGCCCGACCAGTCCCCCTCCACTGACACCCTCATCTGCTTAGCTGAACTCGTCCTCATCCTCAACAACTTCTCTTTCAATTCCTCCCACTTCCTACAGACAAAGCGGGTGGCCATGGGTACCCACATGGGCCCAAGCTATGCCTGTCTCTTTGTAGGTTACGTGAAATAATCCCTCTTCCGTAGCTACACTGGCCTGAAACCCCACCTCTTCCTCCGTTACATTGATGACTGTATCGGCGCCACCTCGTGCTCCCACGAGAAGCTTGAACAGTTCATCCACTTCACCATCACCTTCCACCCCAACCTTAAGTTCTCCTGGACCATCTCTGATACCTCTCTCTCCTTCCTGGACTCTCTGTTTCCATCTCTGGCAACCACCTGGAAACCGATATCCATTTCAAGCCCACAGCTACCTAGAATACACCTCCTCCCACCCACCTTCCTGCAAAAATGCCATCCCCTATTCCCAATTCCTTCACCTCCGCTGCATCTGCTCCCAGGATGAGGCATTCCATTCCCGTTCATCTCAGATGTCCTCGTTTTTCAAGGACCGCAACTTTCCCCCCTCAGTGGTCGAGAATGCCCTCGACCGTGTCTCCCGCATTTCCCGCAACTCATCCCTCACACCCCTTCCCGCAATAACAACCAAAACAGAAACCTCTCGTCCTCACGTACCACCCCACCAACCTCCGGATCCAACGCATCATCCTCTGACACTTCCGCCATCTGCAATCCGACCTCACCACCAAAGACATTTTTCCCTCCCCACCCTTATCTGCTTTCCGGAGGGACCACTCCCTCCGGGACTCCCTTGTCTGCTCCACACTCCCCTCCAGCCCCACCACACCTGGCACTTTTCCCTGCGGTTGCAGGGAAAAGTGCCCCTGCCCCTACAACTCCCCCCTCACCCCCTTCCCAGGCCCCAAGAAGACTTTCCACATCGAGCAGATGTTCACCTGCACATCTGCTAATGTGGTATACTGCATCCACTGTTCCCGTTGTGGCCTCCTCTACATTGGGGAAACCAAGCAGAGGGTTGGAGACCGCTTTGCAGAACACCTACGCTCGGTTCGCACTAAACAACTGCACCTCCCAGTCGCGAACCATTTCAACTCCCCCTCCCATTCCTCAGACGACATGTCCATCCTGGGCCTCCTGCAATGCCACAACGATGCCACCCGAAGGTTACAGGAACAGCATCCCATGTTCCGCTTGGGAACCCTGCAGCCCAATGGTATCAATGTGGACTTCACAAGCTTCAAAATCTCCCC